ACATACATTTTGAGTATTTACCCAGCCACTGCATCAAAATTCTGGACATAAACCCAACTTAGAAAAATTATATAAAATAAACTAAAACTCTAAATTGCATGATTTAAACTTCTTTTGAAAGCTAAAAATTAGACCTATAAGTTTTATGAAGATCAAAAATTAATTTAAGTACATTAAGATGCCATAAACAGGACAAACATTTATTAGTACATGCTGCCGGGTTTTCAAAAACTGCTTGCTCACTCGTTTTATAAAAATCATAACTCACTCGATATATCTTGGATTATCAAAATTTCAAAACTCACATAACCACAACCGAAAGATCTACATATCATATGCAGAGCAAAACTTCATAAAACGAGTAATTCATGCTCTTATCAGCAACACAACAGAGGTAGTAAAAATCGAAATATAAGTCTTCTACTACATGGTCTCCTTTCAATATAGATATATCCTCATATAAAATGAAACTTAGTCATAATTTAACACACATAATAAAAAATTAACTCCCCTACATAATACTAAAAAGGATTTAGCATACTAACCTCTTCAAGCCTTCAAGAAAAACAAGATGAAACTAGGTTGAAGTTCTTCTCGGCAAAGGCTCTAAGTTGCTCTTGAACTTGATATAACTTCTAAGAGTTTGGAGGGGACTTTGGGGTGATTATGAACGAAAATTATAAGGATTAATGTGACTTTATTCAGCTGAGTTGTGGCCTTAAGTAAAGGCTTCACATGGGTGTTGACTCTTTGGCTATAAAAGGGACAAATAATGAAGAAATCTTAGGTGTATTTGCAAGGAAATTTCTTCAACTCTTAGGTGTGTGAATCTTGAGCACATGGACGAGTTATTGGGTTGGTAAGGCTTAAGATACTCTGATTTTTATCATCAAGGAACATGGGGACAAGAATCTTACACCTCTCATGCAAAAACAAGACTAGCACATGCAATATAACAACAACCTAGCACATTATTACTAAATGCCAAGATGGTTGACTCCCTTTCACCTTCACATGGACTAAAATAGCTCATATGACTTTTAATCCACCTGATTTCATTCTCATGGTCTTAGAGGAATCATGGTTTGAACCATTGGTTAGAGAAAGGTGAATGGCTCGGTTCTTATCAGTCCCGGCAATAAGTTACGCAAAGTGAACCTACAAGAGCTTTGACTATTGATAATGCTTCCAAGACTTACTTACTTAAGCTTAGAAAATACTTAATAAGCCCTTATTAACATGCATGAAACGAGGCTAGAAACAAATTAAAACGAACAACAATTCGACTTAAGCGAGTAAACCGAAATTCAAACGGAGATCCATAAAATAAAATCGAACAAGTTATATAATTATGTTATCCACATAATGATAGCATATATAATCATATAATTAAAGCATATAAATAATAAAATAAAGCCATTAATTAAAATAAACTCAGAAAAATCTAATATTCAAACGGGACGCTACAATGGGCATGTCACTCTACTATGTTATACGAATCTATAGTCTAGATACTACTAAAGTATCTAACCCGAGCCACTTGATAAATATACTTAATAATTTATCTTTCACTCGAGATTTGGCTTCAAGGCTTTGATATAAAATCAAGATTATTTCATATTCGACTTACTAAGGCGACTGTAAGAATATATTTATACAACAAAAGTATAAATACAATTCATACTACATACACGTAATATGAATATGACATAGTCTCATCCTATTACTCATAACTAATGTGATAGGGCGATTGCCTGTGTGATAAGCGTAAACAAAAGCCTGGTGGCATCTTTACTCATGCCTAATTATGCAACACATGCTAAATAACATATCAAAGAACAACAAATTTCATATATGTTTGGTGTAACATTATAACATTCATTATCCCACAAAAATAAAATTAAAACCTACGCAAACTAAGACTCTTCACATGAGTTTAGAAAGTATCTCTGCGTATAGGTTAAGTTAAAGGATCAACTATCATTTTCTTTGTGGGTATATACTTAATGACAATTTCTTTGTTTTTTATTGTGTCTCGTACAAAATGATAACGCCTTTTGATATGCTTGGTTTATCTGTGAAACTTCGGATCCTGGGCATACTGGATAGCAACAGTATTATCACAATGCATTTCTACAAGTTCATCAACCTTTGGGATGAGGTTGAGATCTTGTAGAAAATTCCTCAACCATATTGCCTCTTGAACGACAACGCAACTGGAAACATACTCAACTTCCATAGTCGAAAGAGCTATGCAATCTTTTTTTTACTGCATCAGGATATTGCACCTCCACCAAATATAAAGGCATATCCTGAAGTCGACTTTTACTCATCCATATCGCCACTCCAATCAGCATCCGAGTATCCTTTTAATTTCAAGGACCCACCTTGATAGCAAAGTACCAAGTCACTTGTACCACGCAGGTACCGCAAGATTCTCTTGACAACTTGCCAATATGCAGGCCCAGGGTTTCTTTGGTAACGACTTACCA